TCGGTATGACTCAGAAGCAACTCGATAGCAGTGGGTTTGATTTTTGTTTTGTTTTGTTACTTATGTGATTGTATAAGGCGCCCTCGTGGCACTGTGGATTAAATACTGCTAACCAGAGGTTGGTGACTCAAATCCGTGAGTCACTCTTTAGGAGTAAGATGAGGCTGTCTGTTTCTATAGAGATTTACAGCCTCAGAAACCTTATATAGGGTCACTATGAGTCAGAATTGACTTGATGCAGTGAGTTTAGTTTTCAGCTTAATAAGTGTTTACACCCCAAGTCTTATAAGGAATTCACACACTACTTCCTAGGATTTCCAGGTGGAGTCCTGAAGGTCTGGAGCCACCTGCTTACAGACACAGGTGTACAGACAGACAGACGCTAAGCCCAAAGACTCCCTAGAGTTTGCACGTGCTGATAACTTGAGCCTGTCTCAACCCTCATACAACCATTTGACACAGATCCCTCCACTTCATGTTGCATATCTGTGGCAATTCCGCATACAAGTGTATTCAGATGCACCTGAGGTGGCACATGCACCCCAAGGTTAACACATACACCCCGAGGTGCCACATACACCCCGAGGTGCCACATGCCTCACAAGGTAGCTCATACACGCCAGTGTTAACACATGCACCCTGAGGTGACACATGCACCATGGAGAATCAGGAGCTGGCGTGGGCTGTTGTCTTGTTGGCGGGCACCTTTGGGTGGCCCCCCGCCCGTTCCCCAGCTTTTCTTTTAGGTGACAGAAACTCTCAGCAGTCAGGTTTGGTTTTTCTTGTGATGTAAACACAGGTCAGCCCGGAAACCTTTTTCTTCTATAATTGGTCACCCTACAAGCAGCAGCACACTCCTTCCACTTGTGCTGCGTGCTTCCTTTGAGCTTCCCGGGTGGGGACCCCTGGTTTCGTAACAGATGGAGATTCCAGCAGAGCACCTTGACCCTTTCAAGGCGTTGGGCAGGCTCCTTTAGCCGGCAAGCATCTGCAAATTCTGGATTACATTTGCAGTGTGGAAAGAGGGCAGGCACCTTTTGAGTAAACCTTTCTACCACCTATGGGAAACTTCTGAAATGTTTTATCGACAGTTGAATGAGCTTGCCCTCGGGAGAATTAGGAGTAGCTTGGTTGTTAAGGATCCTGGTGGCACAGTGGTTAAGCTGCTAACCAAAACATTGGTGGTTTGAGCTCCACCCCCCTCCCCAAAAGCCCCGTGGGAGAAAGACCTAGAGAACTGCCCCTATGAGGACTACAGCCAAGAATATGGGGCAGATGCACTGTCACATGGGGTCACCGTGAGCCGGCATCAATTCGAGGGGCCCTAGAACACAACCCTAAGGGAGTGGCACCTCTATTTCTTCTGAAACCTGTCAGGGTTCCCAGCCCTGGATGGGCGGGTGAGCCCTTCACCTCTCCAGGCTTCTCTC